AGGATTTTACTATATGTATTCGAACTGAATATGCAGACATAAATAGTACAATATGAGAACGAAAGATGAAGAGAAATAAAAAGAGACGAAAAAGAAATAGTTACATGTAATCTTTCTTTTTGTATGCATTCATTCTTGAGACATAAGCGCATATTTGTACTCTCCAATTACATTTCTGTTATGCTTTCTAGTTATTATTATTTTCGTTCTATTGTAAAATTAAATTAATAATTCTATGTATAGAATATTTTTTTTAAAGTAAGAATAATATAATAATCTCATGTTTTCTCATATCACTGAAGGTTTTTGGAATCAGTTACTTTTTGTTATTTGATGTTATTAATAATAATTGATGATGAATAACAAGTACATAATTCTTGATAAAATGAAAATCATATATTTCTTCTCTCTAATTCATTTAAACGAAAAATCAAGAACGCTCATATTCGCAAGAAGAAAAGAAAGTACGACAAATGAAATTTATTCTTCATTTCTTATAAAATCATGAATATGTAGAGCAAAACGTCACATGAATTCATGATAGTTACTATAATCAGTTATTCATTAATATATTGCCTTTTAAATTAAGAATTCTTTCGTTTAGAAATAAATGAATTATAGGTCGGTCACTTATTTTTGAGTCTATCTATAATCGATGCCCCACAAAAAAAAAGGATTTCAAAAAATGAATCAAAACCTGACCAATTTGAATAGAAGGTAGAGGAAAAGTAAACACATATGGACTTTCAGATACTTGTTATGAGTTTTGTAAATAAGTGAAGTATTTGAATCGTGAGATATATGTGTAGTTTTTTTGCTACACATGCAGTTAGCGCGAAGGACAGAATACTCAGATTCCCACAGACACTTTGAAAAAATCGCAATAAAACTGATTCTATCAAAATCTAAGAAGACTTGATTAGGATTATTAGGATTCAATAGAGCTTAGCAGAATGTATTTGACCTTTAAAAGTATCTCGTTTCTTCTTCTCGCCCATGTCATTAATGTATTATAGTTCAATCAAAAAAGACAGTACAGCTGATAAAACTTGACATTTATTTTTTTTTCGATATTTCTGTTTAAAGGAAAAGTCAAAGGTTTTTGATTTTCACACAAGTCATCTTCATTTAAAGATTATTTTTGAATTAAATGAGAGTAACATGTGAAAATCATCATTATTATAATAAATCAGATGATCATTTACAAATTACTAAAGACATTTCTCTTAAATTAATTCAAATTTTATTTGAAAGAGTCCATATGTTCAATGATTTATTTATGAATTGTGACCGCAGTGACGGGCCACCATGGTGGCAAAGTATGGCAGTTGCCATACCAAAAATTTTTATTCATTATGGGCTTTCCTGTTCGACTATTTTTTTCGATCCAATTTTTTATCGAAAGCCAGTAAAAAAAATTAGACCAGAAGTGACTCCTGCTTTTTCATAGAGGTATCCTCAGATACGCTTGATTTACCTATTTTTTCTAGAAGTGATATAACGGGTGATCGAAAATTATATGGACAAAATGTTTGTTCACTTTTGACTCGCCTGAAAGTATTTCCGACGAGTCAAAATCTATGCGTTAGAATCAGAACTTTCTGATCTTTCTGAATATGAGCTTAGAAATTTTATGTCGATTTTTGTTCGAGAGTAGTGAAATAATCTTTAAAAGACCCAACAAATGAATTTGGACGGAACGTTTGGATCGAAGTTTCTGATCAAAATATTAATTTGTTTTTGCTTCCTTGAAAGCATTTTCAGATGAGTCAAAACTATGGATTAGGACCAGAATTTTGTGCTCTTTCTGGACATGGGTCTAAAAACGTTGTGTCTATTTTTGTTCGAGAGAAGTGAGGAGACCTTTGAAAGGCTTAAATAGTTAGTTTGAACTGCGAAGAAACAGGTTTTGCTAACCCACACAAATTCTTTTGTGAAAATGCTAAAAATTCTCGGATTCGGTAGTTTCGTAGAGCAAACAATTCTTTACAAAATGTGATATTGAACTAAGCTGTAGCTTTTACCCAAGGTAAACTATACGCATTTTTCCAAGAGCTACTGTCCACATAAAACGCTTTTGGTAAAAAAAACGATTTTTCAAAAATGACGATTTAGGAAAAACGAATACTCAGAAGTCTTGTACAAAGAACAAGAAATACTCACACAGTACATTTTGTAGGATAGGTTTTGTTCTACAAGCTGGTATAATAATGCAGGTTCCATCTTTTAGTTTCGAATGACAACAGTAAAAATACAAAAATGTGCGGACAAAATTTTCGTTCAAACTAAGTTTTTGGACCTTTCGAAGATTGTTTCACTACTCTCGAACAGAAACCGGCATAAAATTTCTAAGTCCATATTTGGAAAGAGCACAAAATTTTGATTCTAACGCATAGATTTTGACTCGTCGGTAATACTTTCAGGTGGGTCAAAAATGAACAAACATGTTGTCCAAATGATTTTCGATCACCCGTTATTTTAATTGTATTGATGGAGTCTTTTATGAAAAGTTTATGATGTCATATTTTTTTTGTCACTTTTAAGAATGAAAATAATAAATATAATATGAACACGATGCCTATAGTAGAAGCTTAGCATGAAAATCAAAATATATGAACAAAATTTAAGGTTCTATTTTTTTATAAGTTCCTTACACTTTTTAATAATTTCGCCATACCAAAAAAAATGACCCTGGCCCGCCGATGTGTGACCGCAATTCAAACCAGTCAGTGAAAAGTCAGTGCTATTGGCAACAAGTAAAATTTCATTGCGTCATTTTTATTGAGTTTTCAAAATGTGATCACTTTCAGGGTGGGTGTGGATGTTCTTCCTTTCTTCAACAAAACATCCACACCCTACACTCTCTATGATCTATCAAGCGACCAAAGTTTTGGAAAATAATGGTTTTTGTGTAAACAGGTTCATTATGTTTTTTATGGTAGCTGTCGCAATGTTCCTGACGAGGGACATTCGACTTTTAAGCGTTAACTTGATCATTATCGCCGAAAATGCCAACTAACCATGCAATGAAATACGAATTTGACTTTTAATAATTATTCTAATTCAATTAGTCACGTTGAGACTTACATTTAATATTTGATGAAGAAATCATATGATCGAGGCAGATCACGAAGTACAGAGTTCCTATTCGATCTTTATTCATCTTTTATTTTATCAATCATCGAACTTATAATCGAATGAACTCTAAGTATGTGAATTGCTTATCAAACATATAATAATCATTGTTTGTAATAGTTCATACTAATGGTAAGAGATATTACAGTCACATAGCGAGATAGTCATCTGTTGAAAATCACAGGCTACTGCCCAGTTAAGAAAATTAAAAAGTACTGACTATTGTAATTTTAATGAATGTGAAACAAATAAAAAGTCCAAGTATTAAAAGTAAAAGCAAGAGCTTAATCAAATACTTTTTGTCGCTTCGATTGATCCGTCAGTCAAAGATCGGTATCTTATATTTCTCTTGGAATTGAAATCGACACAGCTATAGAGTAATAAATACTGTTGGTTCTCGTATGCAGACCGCAAATTGTCAGTTTAATAAGTTTCATCGGAATATTCCAAGTGCTTGCCGTTAAATATTGATTCGAAAATGTACACGAATAACTTTTATTCGACGTCGAATAATAGGAAGTAGAGAAAGTCATCAGAGTCTAATCATAGCATTGAATAGAAGTTATTAGTGTAGGTAAGACATAGGAAACAACTATTTATTGCAATGAATTTTCTCTATGCATCGACTTTTTACAAGTCAGAAGCTCACAATACTATACGATCGTGCATAAAATTGATCAGGTAGCCTCGGCAAATTTTTAATTTAAGACCAGACAATATTTTCTGAATGATAACAACTGCAAGATTAAACCCTCGGTTCATCACCAATGAAAGTATGATAACCACATTCAAACATCAAAAGATCTGTCTTTTTTTTATTGAAACAAATTTGTAAGTAAACACAACACAAGTTCACAACAAGAAAAGCATGATAGTTGTAAACGAATCTTCATATGAAGCAATCAAAAAGATAATTCATCTTTCGTTGTAATGCTTATTGATGCTGGAATGCAGTCTGAATTCTTTTTCTAATACGAGTAATTTCTTGGCTGAACTCTTTTCGATAGAATTCCGATGGGAGAACAAAAAGTATGAATGTAAATAATGGTGGAATAAATGAAATAAAATAACCACAGATATATAGCCAATGATTTCGAGGAGATTTCATACAATCGGTAATAAGTGAAATAATTAAACGAGGCAGAGCAATAATAACTAGAAGAAATGAGCTCAGTAATCGATGTTTGTGTTTATAAAATTGTTGTTGTAGATATTGTTTATAGGAGTGTTGTTTATGAGACTTCAATTTCTGTTGAGCTATTAGGATAATTATCAATACAGTTGAAATGAGATTGATAGAAAGAGGTACAAGAAAATGAAAAACGTTATTAAATGTGGCAAAAGTTCTTACAAATGATGAATAACGAACTACACACCATATTCGTTGTTCTTCTGTTTCTTTAAGTAAACGACGATGAATAGAATTATAAATAAAACTTGTAAAGACTGACAGATATATTTCAAACATAATTTTTTTAGCGATTTGTTTACTCTTTGCTTTATTGAATTTAACTCCGAGTCGAATGGTCAATGTTCGTTCAATACTCACACAAGCATTTAACCAATCTCCAATGGTCAAAAATGATTCCATGAGTATATCTAAACAGACACAATTCGATTTAAGAAGAGAATAATTAGTAATTATTGACATTTGAGAAAGGAGAAGTAAAAGAAATTTTGCTGTAAATAATGTCATTGTGAGAAAAGATGTGATTGATGATGCAAGTAGATAAAGACCACAACCTGTTTGAAGTGAGCCTTTTGTTTGAAATGTGACTATTGACAATGGCAATCATAAACATCAATATCGTTCCACTTGTACATAGTTTCACTATAATTGGCTGTTTCGAGAAAGAAAAATTAGGCTAAATACTATAACCAAGAATATCGTTGAGTGATAGACCGAATCCTTTCGTTGTAATTTGACATCGACTACCATAATAACATTTTTTGCAAAAACATGATGACAATGTTGGACAAGTATCATTATCTTGATACAATTGACCATCATTTTCACAATAATTCGATCCTAAATAATTGTAAACTGATTTATAATCGAATTTGAAACAATTTGCATGTCGATCAATGTCTGGAACATGATAATATTTGGCTCGATGCCATCGTAGTAAAGCTTGAATATGATCATCGAATAATTCTGGAATTGATATACAGTGATGTTCGGGAATAATTGTTACTGAAATTTTCGTCGCTGGCGTGGAATTCTGCTGAAGGAAAGCAAGATAACGATGTTCATTGAATTCGACAAATATCAGATGAAATATTCCTCTATAATAAGTAAAAGTAGAATGTTCGTAATATTTAATTTTTGATATCAGAGTTGCTCGTGTTGGATTAGCAAGATATAATTGCGTAGATGGACGAGGTATGGATGAAATATAGAATAAATGAATAAGACTTGATTGTGAAATAGATATTGTTTCTGCAAAAATAAGTTCGATTCTACTCTGTTTTTTTTTACATATAGAATCCATGAAACCTTCTGGACAAAGACAATAATATTCAGTTTCAGAAAATTTTTTATCGCCAACAATACATCGACCTCTATTCAAACAAGGATTCAGAATGCACACTGCACTTTTTAAATAACAACGTTGGCCAAATTTTTTATGAGGACAAATACATATCGATCGATTTTTAACAACTCCGATACAGATCGAATCTGATGAACAATCACAAGTATTATTAACTTTACATAACATTCCAGAATAGCCATCCAACCATTGACAAAAATATTTATCGGAATTTAAAAAATATCGACATTGTCCATGTATACATTTCAATGGACAAATATTTGATATAGTTATAACTTCTCTTATAGGTATATCTAATCGTAATGAAAGACGATGAACTGATAAGAATGAATATCGAATAGAATAGTACATACTACCATAATATATCATATTTAGTTGATCGTAGGCATCGATACGTACATAATATGTATGATTGAAATTTTTAGGTTGTATTGAATAGAGAAGGTAGAAATTGTATTTTTTTTTGGACAATCACGCATTTATATGTATTGAATTTGTTCCGATGAATGTATACTTGCATTTTCATCCATAAGCATCATAACAAAAGTGAACATCGTTCGCCATTCAGCTGTTCGAAATTGTAATGTAAGACTAACTCGTTGATTTTGATATTCACATTGATATCCGAAATAAGCTGGTGGACATAGACATGGATGTGGGTGTGTGTGAAAGTGTATTTTAAGAGAAGACCCACACCCACCCACCCACCCTATTGATAAATACTTAGGACATACCAAAAGTAGGGGCAGTGACACTTTAATACCGTATAGTAGGCTTAAAAGAACTTTCTTTCTATATAGTCTGATCGAGAAAAAAAGCTCTATCTTTCTATGCTATTTGCTCATACTTCAACTAATATCGTAATAATAAAATTTCGATAAGATCTGTTTTGTTCGCTTGCGTCACGATTCCATGAATACTAGTATTTTTTGAATAACTTTTGATAGAAACAAGATAGAGAACTGTGGTTTTCACCGTTGAAAAGAGGAGATGAAGATACGTCGTATCGTTTATTACAGGTTGTTGTAATATTGAATTCGGAAGTATTTTAGTAAATTTTCTAACTGTCTGAAAAATGTTTTTTTTTATGAAAAAAAAGGAAAAAGAACAAAAGTGAGCTTTTTCCAGAGTTTGCTAGAAAATTGTATTAGAAGCTCGAGTAGAATACATAGTATTCGTCTCAACATTCCGCACGTTGTACATCTTCGATTAGTGGTTTGAATTAATACTTGATAATTGAAAATTCACTGGAAACAACTTACTAGATAAGTTTGTTCTTAAAAAGGTCAATTGAAAGCCTTACAAAAAACAGATCAGGAAATCGCGGAATACATGATTCGATGTATCTTCATCTCCTCTTTCCAATGATGAAAATCGCAGTTCTCTAACTTGTTTTTATGAGAAGGTATTCAGAAAATACTCACTCGTATTTTATTAAAATAAGTATTAATACAACCAGCACATATTATAACAAAACAGATCTTATCGAAATTTTATTATTATGATATTTGTTGAAGTATAATCAAATAGCATAGAAAGATAGAGCCTTTTTTTCTCTATCAGACTATATGGAAAGAAAGTTTCTTTAAGCCTACCATACGGTATTAAAGTGTTACTGCCCCTACTTTTGATATGCCCTAAGTATAATTAACAGGATGGGATGTAGATGTGGATGTGGAGTAGACTATGGATATGACTAAGTTCGAGTGTGTAGCTAGGATGTGAGTGTGGGTTTGAATGTAGCAGAAAGAAAAAATCGACACACACCCACATCCAGATTCTACATCCCACACTCACACCAGCAAGTTATCTTGTCTTTTGAGAATGAGTTTTACAATCGAATGTGACTTTAAAGAAGTTTTACTTCGTTTCATAAGTGTCGGAGTCACAAGTCACTTAATGAAGCATGTAACAAGGTGGAAACATGTTGTCGTGACTTTTACCCTCACCTTTCAGAGTCAATTTACTCATCTAATTCCATTTTGCTAATAGAAGTCATTGCGTGCATCGTTAAAATCGTCATATTCAGAAAGCTTTGTGTCAATATATATCGTCATCGAAGAGCAATGGCGCACTCGAACTTCGTTTCCAGCTGGTTCCGTTTTAGATACAAGAAAATTAAAAATCGTAAAAGAATGACGGAGTGCAAATAGTCCAATGATGTCGTATAACGCGCTTACTCCGTTCTTTACAACTACAAATATCGTTTTCAAAGTTGGAAAGCTGCACAAAACTACAACTTCTAAAATACTAAGTCTCGTCGAAATACTTTTCTATTATGACGATTACAGCACCATTGTTCACTTTGGTAGTGGCAAGTGTGATTGTTTTGAAAATTGATCTTGTCACTGTCTATGAGTATTTCCAACTCTGTGAAAGCACTCGAATATATTAATGAGAACCGACCGATTCGCGTTCTGGTTTTTGGTGCTTCCAATGGAATCTACGTCAAAATTGGGGAAGCATACAATATTGTTTTAACCACATTTGCTGATGTAGGAAGGTGCACACCCCATCCTAACTGGAGTTGTATATTCAAAGCCTACAACTATTTCAAGACGTCTCTCGAAATGAAAGGCTACAAGATTCAAGGTACTACGACAGTCATGGGTCACTCGAGCGTCAGCGGTCAGTACAGTTTTTCCGGCCAGACTGACTTCATGCGCTATGTGAAGACATAATATCAAGTATTCAAATTTGATTATACTTAAGACAGACTAATTGTGTATTTTTTTGCAAATAAACTTGCTTCTTTGTCTAACATTTATCTTTTTAAATGGCTTTGTTTGCTTGGATGTGGGCTTTCTTCTCCATGAAACAAAAATGGCATAGTGCTCTATCGCATTGTTGTTTGAGCAAGATTGAACCAAACTGTTCTTGTGGAAAGAGATCAACTCATTAAGTTTGGATTTGTCGGCATCTGAACTAATATAATACAGAAAGGAACTTTTGCCTATGAGATAACTGGATGAAAGAAACATAGAAGATATTGAAAATAATTGTCATCACATTCAGATATGTTGAAATAGTTTCATATGATACTGTTTTAACTGAAATTTTGCTGTAAAACTTATTTTTATTCGATAATCAAGCAAGTAGTGTAATAGCATGAGTAACAACAACATTTGATTCTACATTATTTTTTATTGGATTTTGTTGATTATTTTGTTTCTTGTGCATTAGTATTACATCTCTGTTAAACATTTTGTAAATCAATCGTTTAAGTTCAATTTGAAAATCATTTGATATAGTGAGAAAGGTGGAAATATTATTTTAAAGTATCACAATTTAGGATAAATTGTATATCAATCAATAGAACTAATCAAGATTCGTCGAATAATGTGAGCTTTGCCCATGGAACATCCTTTAATGTAAGTTTTAGGAGAACACATTTCGTGGTGGCGTATATATAAAGTTTTGAAGAACTTTTAATCTTAAACTTCATCTTGCTAGTTAGAAAATATATATCAATCGACAGAGCACATGAAACTGAGTCGAACACAAGGTTTCGCATGTGGCTCAGTTTGCAGAACGCATCGTCAGATGAACTATCTCGTAGAACCCTTTTTTGTATGGGTTTTATTGGGCATAATGTTATAAACACTATCCGATAGAGCTCCTTTTATTTTTCGCTATGATGAAAAATATTTTTTTTTAATTTATATTTTGTTGTTTTTAATCTTTTCTGAAAATGTCAACATACCATTCAATAGAGCTCATCGAACTGTATCTGGCACACAACACCTGATATTTTACACATATGATTGAGCGAATTGTTCTGAACAAAACTAGAATCAGTTGCGAACTTCACTTACCTTTGATTCATTGAAAGATTTCACTATAACTTATTTAATATCTTTGAATTTTTGGATTTCATCGTCTACTGTTTAAAAAAATTATTGTTTCAACCTGATTAAACAAAACAATACAAATACAAACGACGGCTTATCAGAATAGCACAAGTACGCTAGAGAGTGTGGGTGTGGATATGGATGTAGATGAGGTGGATTGGTATGGGTGTTGATTGAGTCAATAGCTATAGCCAAACCCCTTATGCTATTCTCCTAATAAAAATGACTCTACCCAATTTTTTCTATGAGATGAATAGATTGCATGCTTTCTCTTGTTCTCCCCATAGTGTGAAAATAATGTGTCTTTTTCGCCACATACTTGTTATTGCACAAGTAAATCAAACAACATGACTCATACTCATCTGAATAGTAAAGAATATATTTTCTCGTTTTACTTATGATGACGTCAGTGGGTATATTTTTCAATGGTACTTTTACAGTTGTGTATTACAAGAATTTTCACACCGTCGATTTTCTATGTAAGTATAAAATGGAATCCACGTATTACACATAGTTTTTCTAGGTACAGCTAATATTCGAACCTTCTTGCAAAAATTTAGAAATTGATCCAGAGAGCATGATGGAAGAAGAAATCGTCAAGATTAATCGAAAGTTAAAGAAAATGATTGATAAGTCGGAAGTGGACGAATCTGTTGCTCGAGAGTTGCTTGTTCGCTTTCAAGAATTACAAATTACTTTAAAGACTTTGCAAAGAACTGGTATTGGAAAAACCGTCAATGAACTACGACGAGTTACTACCAATGAGAATCTGTCCACAATGACCAAGAATCTATTGAAAAAGTGGAAAAAACTTGTTACTGAACCTGTCGTAGCCATGTCTTCGATCAAGGACGATAAGTCAACAGCATCGACTAATCATAGCAATAGTCAACCACAGAAAGAGGACTCTATCAAAAAGACTCATTGTCATAAAGCGAGCAAAATGATTGAACAAAAAGCATCTCAATTGACCACTTCAATTAGTAATGTCCCATGGCAAACAGATGATGTAGCAAGACTTAAATCACGAGAACTGCTGGTAAATGCATTGTCGGTCACTGGAATTCCTGAAGGTTCGGGTGATGTAGTAGAATTATCTGCTCGCATCGAAGATGCTATCTTCAAAGATGTTAAAGATACTACAGTTAAGTATGGGCGTCGTATTCGTAGTCGGATATTCAATTTACGAGATTTGAATAATCCTGATCTTCGTACTAAAGTACTTCTCGGTAGTATTACACCCGAACGATTGGCTGTGATGACTACAAAAGAAATGGCAAGTGATACTTTGAAGAAAGAATGTGCCAAATTTCAAGAACTAGCTCATCGTGAAAGTCTATTGGCAATTGATGAAGGTATTGGCACTGATCTGATTCAATGCGAAAAGTGCAAGAAAAGCAACTGTTCATATTCCGAACTTCAAACACTTAGCGGGGACGAGCCGATGACTCTGTTCGTCTTATGCAGGAACTGCGGTTATCGATGGAGAGGATAAATTTATTGTAAGCGAGAAATACATTGACTGGCCTTTGATCTCATGTAGATTTGTCGAGTTCGTCTTAAACAGGATCACACGATATTATGACAATTATCTTGATATTTTTATCTGAAATTCATTTTCCGTCTCTTGCTTATTCAAACGAAATTCTATCTCATGATTAGATCATCTCTGAGGGATCATTACGAACATTAAACTCATTCGACTACATTTCTAGAGTGAGGGTGTGATTGTCAGTGTGGGATGTGGGTGTAAGTATTGTTGTCATTCTACACACATCCTCTATCGTTTGTATTGCATCGAATTTATAACAGAAATAGATGATTGAATAATTGTTGCTGCAAGCTAATCGGCCATCGAATTTTATTGTCGTCGTTCTCAATTATAACTCTTAGAATTCTTCAACGAACAATGCTTTAATTCTTAGAATACTGCAAACATGAACAAGAATATTCATATCAAAATTTTCTAGTAAAAAATTTCGTATAAAATAACAATGGTTTCAGTAATTCGTTAATAATAATATTCTTCGATTCGAAGTTGAATAACATCTCGCATAAATTTAAGAGCTAGTTTTATTGTTCTATGTTAGTCCTCATCCAAATCATAATTATATTCAGGTTCGTAAAATCCTTCGACATGTTTTGGATAACATAATCCTACATAAAACGAATAAATATGATGAATTAGAATCAATGGAGATTTAGTATAGGAATTATTGAAAACTCCATCTATGATTACGCACATACTACGTGCATGTCATTGATCAATGAACCAACCATCAGTAGATCCTTAGGATAGTACAGTTAATATTTAAATTATATGCTAAGCAATCCACTTTAGATATCACTGAACAGATTGTGTCTGACAAAAATTTATACTTGAAAATGATTCGTTTATGTTGTCACATTTATCTGTTTTAAGTAAATTCTATAATAAAAATTTAATTAGTAATTAAATCTCTATTTTCAGATATAACCTGCTTGTAAAATATCCTGGCACAATATCTATGTTCAATTTTTATCCACTTTTGGGCCGTAGGAAATAATCAAAAGTAGTTAACTAGAATGAGTATTTCATGCTCTTTCTAAATACGTATATATTCAGAATGTTTTTTTTTGAGTTAAAGTTGATTCAGTAAAAGCAGGGTGTGGATGGGTGTGGGTCTTATCTTCACTTACTCTTACACCCATACTGCAATTCGACTTTGGAATAATTAAACCAAAAAGTTTGCATATCTTTCTCGAATTTAATAAATTTTCATTGTTGAGCTCTATTCCCAAAATTAATTTCAATAGCGTAATATTCATCAAACACGTGGTTTTTAGTTGTCTATGCATACTACAATGTAGGAAAAAAACCTTGACAATAATGACAACAACATTCATTCCTTCTATTATGAGTTTTTCATTTCTTTGTCTTCTTTCGATGACGATGCATTCGTTTCATTCCTGTTCTTTCATGCAGACTCGCTTTACAAGCGGTCTTAAAATAAACAATAAAAAAGTTCTTCTCTTGTCAGCAAAACACACTCCTGTAACAACTGATCAAAAATAAGGATCTCAACAAAAGAAAGGAGCAATCTCTGTCCTAGGAGACGAACACTTTTTTTAGCTCTCCTGCTTCCAAAAAGTATTCATTGATTCATTGTTCTAATTCATTATCACTCAATGGAAGCAATCAACAAGCACATCATTATCCAAAATTCAGTTGTACTGATTCCACTTGTTCGATTAAAACATCTTATTGATAACTGTATTTCTTCAGAAAACATTGTTGTTCGAATGTTTAATTATAATTTTCTTTGAAAAGTCATAGAATATTTTTCAAAACTTTTAAACTAGCAAACAAATTTGCATTCTTTGCCTGTATGATTGTTTACGATGTCAACACAAACCGAAGTTATAAAGGTTTTTTCCAACTCGGAAAGAAAAAAAGCAAAAGTAAATTTTGATTATTAACTGCATCCCATGTTTTGGATCGTTTTTGCTTTGATGATAAGTATCGAAAACGAAAAAAAAAACATACAATTCACAACATTGACAGAACAGAAATAATGCAAGTAGTATATATTGTATCTAAAAGTGCACACTGTTTTCACAATCTTATCACAGCAAGTTATTGAAAGATCATCACATCAGATAATATAAGTTTGATGATACCTTTTTTTTTAGATACAAACTCTTCCAATACTATCGGTTCCTCGGACAAAAAAAAGAAGTAAGTGAAGGAAAAGACCCTGAAGCAATCAATCGTATTATATAAAATGTTGAAAAAGTCAGCCTAACAATAAATAAAATGGGTTCGTACTGATCGTGGTTTGTTTAAAACAACAAGCAACAATTCTATTGTGAAGAATAGCACCATTCACACAGAGGACAATATAATTGTTAAAATGAACTAATTTACTTAGGAAACAGATAGTAGCAATAAGGTACTTTTATTAGAGCCGATAGATGCCATTCTATCACACTAGCTGCTCTACTCTCTTTATCATTGGGTCTTCTCATCTTTTTCCAGGTTTTTATCATTAATATTTTTATTAATTATCTTCAGTTGTTATTGATTGCTTGTTTTCGTTTCTGTTAAAGATGAAAACATATTTACATCTATATCAATAAATATTAGTCATATATTAGGAAGACAAGATACGGTAGGCATTTTACGTTAACTGTTCGTTTACAATGGCAGAGAGAAAGTCTAAATCAAAGCAGATCTCGCTGTAATTCATCGAATGAAATTCGTTTGTGATATTTCTCAGCAACATCTATATTGAATACTTGTACAAGTCTAGTGATCGAAACGTTATATCCGATAACGAAGTTTTGCTTAATAGTGAAACGAGTTGATGTGCAAAAAGTACATCAAAATAGTAAGCAAATATTTGCAAATCCTAATATTGAATCAAACTTATACACTTGAATTGTTCTCGATAAGATCACAGATTTCAGCTTTGATTAAACTTAAGAATATGTAGTTTATTCGCACTAAACGTTGAATTGTTATTTTGGGTGATCCTGGAAGTGGAAAAACAAGTTTCGTTCTATGGTTTGTTCATCACCTTGTACAAACACTTCTTCTCAATGAACAACATTCAACTAATTACGGTCTTCTTCGTATACCAATTCTAATTCCTAATGATGAATTTGCCGAAATATTGAAAGAACAACCATCCCTCACTTGATTTGATTATATTGGAAAACACACATGGACGAAAGAGTCCATTATTGATGATTCATCGATCTCTTCTGATAATGTATCATATGCTTTTCAAGATTATATTCAACAAGGTCAAGCTCTAATCATACTTGATGGTCTTGATGAAATTTCTGTTCCAGATCAACATTTCAAAAACATTAATATTATTGAAAAATTTGTAAACACTTATGTTCAGACACCTACACATATTTCTACCTTCGACAATGTATACTTGAACACGTTACTGGATGATCCATCTCGATCTAGAGGTAACTAATTGATTGTTACAAGTCGTATCGTCAGTTATCATGCTGCTCCATTATGGGGACACTTTTCTTGCCATACAATTCGACCTATGGATACGAATTATATAACAGATTTTGTTAATTATTGGTTTGTTCGTGTTCATCAACATATAATTGATACGTTAAATCTTCCATTGATTAATCAAGGAGAAAATCATAGTGAAGCACTTAAAAAAGAATTGGAAACAACTAAAAATGCTGTTCTGCTTGAAATGGCTACGAATTCTGATTTGCTATCATTAATTTTCACCATAGGTTTTAGACAATTAGAAGGTTTACCATTACCTAGTCAATGTTTTTTTCAATATGAATCAATTGTCAAAGCCGTGCTAAATTTGTGGTACAGTAAAAACTCGACTGTTGAACTATCACAAGTTATTCGAATTTTGACTGACATTACTTCTTGTATTTGTCAAAATTCGACATCGAATTTTATTAGTAATGACGAAATAAAAGAAATATGTGTTCACACAATTAAAACTTCTGTAAATGCAACAACGATAACAACAGATGATATTCATCGTTTCGAAAAAACAAATATTTGAAATGACATGAGTCACTCGTGATAATCTTGGTATTTTAACTTTACGAGGTGATTCACGCTATGGTTTTCTTCATCTAGCATGTCAAGAATATTTTACTTGCTTAAAACTTCTCAAAAGAGATAAATCAGAAAAACAGAAATTCATTACTGATGGATTCGATCGAGACAAGAAAATTCAACTTATCGCTCAATCATTATATCGTCATACGACTGGTCTACGATTGCGAATACGTATTGTATTTGCTTTAGGGAAACTTAGTGCTTCTTGATCCCAAAACGATTTCAACGACCTCTGCTATAAATTTATACAAGCTGAAAATGAATATGATTCTCTATTACCACTTGGTGCTTATATATTAATTAATTTTGTCGATAATTTTGTTAATTATCCTTCGAATGACGTTTTATTCAATGCTTTGGATCGTTTAATAATTGCAGCTGGTCAACATAGATGGTCAATTGTTTGTTCATTTTTATTCGATCAAATAATAAATACATTGAGAAAATTTCGTCATAATGTTGTTTCATTACGGATTAATAATTTCTTATCTGAATCTTCTGAACATGATATTCAAACAATAACACCTCTTTGTTATTTTCTTGAAGGAAAACCTCATGAACTTGAAAATATTCAATGGTTAGATTAATCGTCTTGTTCAATGCTTCAATCCTTATCAACACTTGATAATGAAAATAATGGGTTTGCTATTGATCGGCTTTTATTAAAAAGTTGCTTTTTCAAATAATCAGTTATTACCTTCGAATCCAACTACTTTCAAACGTTTTCTACTTGATAAGAATATTGAAATGAATTCGATTCCTGTGATTTTTTTGTCATTAATCATGAGTTTATATAGTGGCTTAACACGAGATGGTCAACGAATTGTCTTCAATCCATCTAATATTCATCGAGAATCAACTGTATTAACACCGATGCTAATACGTTTTTTTTCAAGAAACGCTCATGATAACCAAGATCAAAATTTTAAAAAATTAAAACAAGAATGTATAAAATATATTGTAATGTTAATGAAAAATCATGATAAATCCTCCGAAGCAGTTGATTTGTATATTGCAACTATTTGCCTTTATGATATTCCATATTTACAATTCTTTTTTACGCATATGTACGGATAGATTAAAATATATTTCTATGATTTTACGTCAATTTTATTTTCCTATTGATGAAAATGATCGACGCATAGAAAATGAAACAACCAAATTTATTTCAACTAATCTCAGTAAATTTCAATATGTTCAATCAGCAAGAATTCATTGTCTCGATATGTTAAATGCATTAATAAGATGTAATGAACATAGTCGAATGAATTGGTCAATATGAAAATGACTGAGAAATAATCCAATTTGACCTGGTGTTTATATTTCATTCGGAAGCGTAAGTGAAATGATATTTTTAGGATCAATAATACGTGTCATGAAAGGTAGATCAGATTTTGACATATAACGAAAGTCTAGATCAAAGTGATGGTAGGTAGAGTGCAGATGTGGGTTTTTTTACGAAGACTTCATCACATAAAATAAAATCTGTCTACTTCGATTTATGCGATTACTTTAGCCGAGCAAATGAAAATAACAATATGAATAATAAGGACCATACTTGATTTCAACAGAACGTGATATCTTTTAGTTGCTTACATCATAATGTGATTCACATTGGAAAAAATAATTTTGTGCCTAAATTCTAATCATTCAAATTCATTTTACGAGATAGATCTACTTTGGTTTTATTGATATCAAATATTAATTAAAGTCCAGTATTTTCCTCTGATATACAGAAAATTTCACTTCTTAAATCATTTTTCGCTGTTATTTCGATAGCTCCTTTGTACTATTTTAGCACCTTCGAATCCTAATCGTTTCTTTTGAGAGAGAAGAAACAAGGTTAGGTTAGTCGCCTAAGATATACAGTTTATCTCAAAAATAAATAAGATCTATCTTCTTTTGAAAAAAGATAATGACGCTGTCAATTATAAACATTCAATATTTGTTGAAAAACTTATAGATTTAGCACTATTATAAAGAAGAAGATTCTTTTCGATTCGAAGATTTCAAACAGACTATCAATATCATACAAAAAATAGCTTTTTGGCTGCTATTAAGTGTAATTTCATCAGAGTCGCATACTTCAATAGACACTTAAGCGGTTAAGTTTACAAGAATGTTTTTAACTATTTCGAAAAAAAAAGTTTGATAAGCAAACATTAAAAATCCATATAAATTTTTGAAGTTATAAACATTTTTCAAATCAGTTTAAAACTCAAAAAAAAAACAGAGTTCGTAATTGTGAAATGGTCAAAATTATTCATTAATGAATTATTATTCGTTTTAATGGCTATTTCACCATTATTTCTGTGAAAAGATGCATTTTAATGGTCAAAATGGTCTAGCTACAAGTAATAAGGCATTTTAATGACCATTTCTTCATTATTCACTTGACTGAGATATGTGTTGCACACTCTATAACGCTAGTTGATTTCATAACTGTGCTTCAATGATATAATAGGAATATATGAGTTATTTTAAAGAGAGAAGGAAGTTATATCTTCATTTTTAGATATGTGACACAAAACAAATTACTTTTTCACTATATCATATCTTTGTCTAACTAACGATGAACAAACATCGAAAAAAATGAAATCCATAATTCTTGTATAAAATATGAGAATAGTTAGGAAAAATAGCTTCTACGCTTTGGGCGAGTTTTTTTTTCTAAAAGCAACCGCATTTGATTAGAAAAGCCAAATAAATTTATTATGTATTCAAATATTCTATGTAGTTTAATATGCGCACACTATATATTTGAAGTATTCCACTGAAACACAATAAAAATAGTCGATATACATCGCATTCATTCACATTAATTTCAATGATTTTTGATTTTTTTTATCAGCTTTGTATTATGTTCAATAACAAATATCAATGACTTACATTTTCGTAGCGGTATGATCACATGGGAACCATTTCCCTCTGTAACAAATACCAGTCCAAATATTACATTGATCGTCCATTAGCGTTATGCTTGGTCTCGCTCACTTATTTCTTGTACTCAAACAAATATTTTCAATAGAGATTTGATTGGTGACTACTCTCTTAATTCTATTGTCTGTCTTTCCGGTTCAACCCAATGCAATTCAGTCGGTTATAATTCTCAGAAGATCTCCAGTGAAGTCTATTGCACCGATATTAATTTGATCTTAGGAATATCATTAGGTAGCCGAAGTCGATCATTATTATTACTTAATAATACCAAATTTGTTCTAGCATTTAAAGGTACTGATTCGTGGCTCAGTCTTACGTATGGTTCACCGGCAAGCGAAGGTTGAAGTCTGCCAGTTTTCATTGATGTGACGTCACGTGCTGATATCAAAATAAATCATTCGCCAACATCCACGATGCCTCTTAGAATAAATATACCAATCGAAATTTCGACTAGGATCGAAATTACAATGAGTGACGACGATGTCAATGATGTGATTAAATGTCGTTGGGACAAATCAGCAGGTACAATCAATGGACTAAGAGGCGATGAATGTGCTGGTGCATGCAGTACATATACATTACCATCGACTGTTCAATTACGAACATTTACAAATCGATGTCAATTGAACGTAACTTTACCCTCTATAGGGCAGTATATAGTAGCTCTTCAAATCGAAGATTTTCTTTCGACTTCTTCAATGACTGCATTGAGTTCAGTTCCACTTCAATTTGTATTCTACGGATTCAATAGGTATAATACACCGACAACCTGTATGAAACCACCAAGTATCACGAATATGTCACCTTTTCCAACTGATAATGGTGGTAACATCTCTGTGACAGTCAATGGACAGTATTCCGGTGTTATTATTGCACAGATAGGTTGTAGCAACGATACAGAAACATATATCACTAATTTTATTACCGAGAGTCCGCTCGGTACGAAAACATCAAATTTTTCCTATGATCAAAATAATGCATCATAGTATTCAATGAAATTACAATGGACATCAATAATAGATCAACTCATTTCAACATTAACATTTTGTGTTATAGCTATTGATGTGAATGACGATTCATCCAACTCCTATTGTGTCAATTTTATTGTTGGTTCTGAGACGACGACCACAATGTTTACTACGGATACTCTATGACGCAGACGACAACAACGGATACTACAAGTGCGTCAATGATGACATCAGCTACGACTGTTACGTTCACAACTGAAACTACGATAACTACAACATCGCAAATGGTTACAGGTTTGTCTACTTAATTGTGTCAAAAACATTCTCAATTATCATTTGCTATATGTTTTTCTTTGACAGCAATGACATCAGTCTCGTCTTCAAATAATAGTCGAACATTGGCTTCAGGTCTTGGATTGGGTTTACCATTGATTTGACTCCTCACTTTACTTACTTAATATCTTTGTTGTCGCTCCAAAATTCAATCATTACAGATTAGTTTGATCTATTTACGTCGAACAACTCCAAGTAATCACTTGTTCATTGTTTAGATATTGCTATTGAATTAACGCAGTGAAATGTATTGACTGAGACTGATTCGTTTCTTCTCATAAAGACATTCATTGATTCCATCACTTTATTTGGAATATTTCTAGCTCATAAATTTCACTTTCGTTTAGAAATACAATTGGAGCAGGCAACATTACCAAATCAATAGCATGTGTGCATGTCAGACATTTGAGAGCAATAATGAAAAAAATCAAAATTTTGATCGTTCAATCTCTGATTATCATACACAATATATAAACAAAGTGGAGCTTTTTCAAAACGAATCATCGTTCAATGAGCAGCATCTATCATCACCTGATGGTTTTATTTAATTCAGAGTCTGTCTCTACTTTCGATCTGAAAGGGCTTCAATGTAACAACAACATTATTGCTTTCTTCTTCGGCCAAAAGTCTTCCTATGAATCATGTCGAATATTTCACGAATTCAGAATCAAAACACAAATTCGTTACCAACTGGTTCGATTCTTATTCGAGCCTATTCTAAACAATTGGCGCACAAGCTGGGGTAATAGACAACAACAAAAGAACATACTGTATGACACTTATTCTTTTTCGTATTAACAAACATCAACAACATTCAAATCTAGATAGCACCTTCTTCTAAAAATTAGAAATTTCAAATAAAAATTCTTCCAATCAAATTGTTTGTGTTCGTGTATCGATAAATCTGATCTTGATGAAATGTTCTATGACTGCACGAAATAAAAAGAAATAAGAAAACTTTCTTGAAAGATAATATATTATCTAGTCTTTCATATAATGGTTCTACAGTTCAGAATATAGGTTTTGCCAAAATAGAACAAGAAATAGAATACGTATATGTATTACAGAAAAGAAAACAAAACGCAGACTTCATGAATAATTACCAAAAAAAGAAAACCTACCAGAAGCTAAAAAGGTTTTGATAAATACATTTCATACTTATGAGCCTACAACAGTAAAAAGATATTCATATGAATCTCTTAGTTATCGATGATATGATTCTGTATACTGTTGTATTTTTTATCATTGTCTACATGATCAGTATAGGGTGATTCTTTTGAAAACGTACCAGAACGGATGTACAGAAAAATGCTAGTTGTACATGTCTTTTGAACATAGAATATCTTTATTCGAAACTTTTTATATTGTGAATCTTTATTGATATATCTATTATTATTATTTTTGGGATTTTCGTTTTTGACCAATGTAATTTCGCAGAGAGAATCATTTCGAATTTGTGAAAATAGTATACTGCCATATCTGTTGTCAATATTATATAGTTTTGTTTCGCCCAAAGACGACATGATATTTTATTACGAACTTCAAACTATTATTGACAGTTCTATCCGAGAGTAGGTGTGAGTGTTTATTACGAAAAGCCTATTACTTATCTCCATACTGGAATCTAAATTCACACTCTCAAGATTGAATATCACAATCTATATTAACAATAAGAATATCTTTAGAATTTATTAATCTCTATACCAAACAAACCTTCTTTAATTATATATCTACAATTAATTATCGTTACGTTACGTTGATGCGTCATTGGTTTACTCGATATCAGATGCGTATGGTGAACTTCTGTGAAAAAAAATTTACCTACGGTACATTGCTGTTCTATAGGCATCGCTTTCTTCGATATTAGTTCAATTAATTTGAATTATTTCGTCAATCAATTTAACATAAGCTAGAACAGTGCTTGAGACGTTTTAGCATAACCAGTTGTACATGACAGAAAAACATACATTTTCATGACCAAAATATACATCACTATAAACGTTTTCGATAATATGTTTAAAAAGTCTAAACATTATTTTGTTGGCGTTTCCAAGAAAATCAATAGGATGTTACAAATTTTTTTAAAAACCACGTATTATGCGATGTAATATTGAAACACTAAAGTGTATTCTAGATAAACGTCAAATTGAATTCTTATGGAAATTTTTCTTTTTACATACAGTCAGATGTGACTCAAAAGAATCGATTTAAAACATCATCTTCATTCTTTTTTAAATTGTAACATCTATACATAAAAACCGAATTCTAAATCGAAAATCTACGTAAGAAGCATCTGATAACAATTTGAACTCGATCGAATGTCACATCTTTGTAGAGTTTACACTATATGAAAAGATAATGTTTTGCGTACATATTCGATCAAGAAATCCTTTATTTTCTTCTGTATTCTAAATTGAATTGAGATCTATTTGTAGACATGGCGTAAATAGATGGTTAGGTTTTTTGTGTCATTATTTGGTGATGAAATATTATGTTACGTTATCGAGAGCTTTGACTTTCTTTTATTTGCATGTGAAGTTCTAGGTTAAAATCTTTCCATGCTCTTCATTACAACTTTATAGTAAAAAGGTGTGTATTCATTCAAACTCATATTTTGTAGAAAAATAATACTATCATCTATGTCTGCCTGTCTTTCCTTTCGAAAAAAAAAAATCTTACTACCTTTTTTTTTCTCGTTACCTTATTGGTTAATTATTAATACAATATCTATAAATACAGAAAAAAAAGAGAACAAAATAAGTAAAACTAGAAAGTAAGATTGATCGGGAAAAATAGAAGCAATATTTGTATTTGAAACTAGTGTTTGATTCACTATTTTTCATTCTTTACACACTTCAGATTGGTCTAACCGATTTTTATCAGCATGTATACAATGTAAAAACGTCAAAATGTCTCAATAAAACATAATGTCATAAAAGATTTAGTATTTTATTAACAATATTTTTTGCAATTGGCCATATTAAAACTATGATAGACTATAAAAAGTACATTCGCGTTACAGACAAACTTTTTTAATAGTGTCATATTCAATATCATCAACTGATTTTCATGTTCAAACTTATCTTCAACGAAAAACCCATATTCATTGTAATATATCCTTGAGCTCGTACATAGAAAAAGCAATAGTGAGTGAAAAAATTTCCTGTATGAATTAGTAATTAAATATCAATTTCTTCATCAACTAAATCAAAAAGATAAACAGAAACTCAAAAAAAATGAATTCATCTGTTAAACAACATTGTATTTACATATGAAAAAAAGTATATTCTCAATCACAATTCATAACATAGAATAACTAATTCAATCGCTGTTGACCTCCTTATGTATTTAAAAAAAAAATTATATTCCTTTTCATATCACATGAATCGATTTATTTCATTTTATATATATTCATTTCTCATCAATACATAATTCACATGCTTTTTCAAGAGAGTGTAAAATATTTCCAGTGTTATTTGTACATTGATTAAAGTTATGAATAAGTTTTATTTTAATAATAGCAAATGCACTGAATATGCTTGGTACTATGTGAAATATTATTATGATATTGAAAACGTCCTTTGTAAAATGCAAAATAAATAATGTTGATGACATTTAACTTTTTTGTTTCTTGAAAAATTTCGACTTATCGATGCGATGAAATTCTTCATGATATTAATAGAAAATTTAAAATTTTCTTTCGATTGAATACTTTTATATATTTACTATGTCAAGTTTTTAACCTACTGCTCTTTTATCTTTATCTCAGTGCCACATAATTATTCAGAGATGCAGAAAAAAAAAATGTTAATATACAAAACGACTCCTTTCTTTTTCTTTTTCTTACTATTTATAGGTATACTCGTAGATGATTGAATATAAGTAGTATATCTGCCCCTTTTTTCTCTCTCTACTTTCACATATATCAATCACACACGTCATTCGTATAAAAGTTTATTCGTTTATTTTTTTTTCTTTCTTCGACATTTCTTTTTTACGTAGCTTTCTCAGTATTATAACTATTCTTTCACAAACGTGCTCTATAATCAAGAACTATTTACTTCATCTCATTGCAATCGTATTACGAAAGAGGAGTTTATCTCTCGGTTTCATTTCGTTTTCTTTCAATAGTTACCTTCATAATTTGTCACATCTTTATCGCTAACAGAAAAATATGCCTGTAACAGGACGAATTTTGATGCTTATTGGCATTATTATTACAGTGATTTCAGCTCTTTTTTGTATCATCGGTTTATCTACAAAAGGATGGTTCGGTGATGGTTTATTCTGCAATGCATGTTCAAAATCACCAGCTGCTCTTTCTGTTATTTCATTTATTCTTCTGATTGTAACTATTGTTGCTCTTGTCTTACAAATGTTCGATATTTTAACTGGTCCTCTTCAATTAATACCAATTACTTTATTATTCATCGCAACTATTTTTTTATTAGGAACACTTGCATCCATTGCAGAAGGCTCATTAGGTTACTCGTTTGATCTAATGGTAGTAGCTCATTTCGGTTCATATCTAGCTTTAGCTATAATAGCATATTGGCTTGGTCAATCAAATGCAGGATCGAGTTAATCCTAAATACTTGAATGAATATTGTAAATAGATAAAGACAGTATATTAACAAAAAAAAAAAATTTATGACTTATATTATTGTATTTATGATCAATGTAAT